CTCCCCAACAGGGACCTACAAACTCTGCTGAGAAGCAGCCTGCCTTTCCTCTGACCTCCAAAGATAAGCAGAGTTCCTCTTATCTTAAGAGGAAAAAGAAGACACTTCCACACCCTAATCCTACCTGCTTCCCCCTCCCTGATTCCACACCCTAAAGCCCCCATACGTAAAGTCCCAGATCACAACCCGTGGACATCTTTCCTGAACATCTTTCCTTCCCTGACATCCTTCCCTTCCTTCCCTTCCCCCTTCCCCCTTCCCCCTTTCCCCTTCCCTTCCCTTCCATCTTTCCCTTCGTGGACATCTTTCCCTTCCTGAGGGAAAGGTGCCCCGTGTGAAATAAATCTATGTCCCACTGAGAATTCCATCTGAGCCTCCATGCCTCATCCATCCGCTCATGCCTCCTCCATCTGCGCCACTCGCTCCCGCCCATTCTCTACCTATCAGTTTCTGTTTATTGTGTTTGCAACCTTCAAATGCAGATCACTTCCTGGCTGACATGTACTGCTATTGTGGATTCTATCCTTATAAAATTTCTGGAGAGCAATGTAGCACATTATATCAAAAGTTTTAGCATTAGAAATTGCCTTTGGCCCAGTGGCTCTGTTTGAACTCACCTTCACTATAAAAATAATGAAACAATAATTAAAGATTTAGCCACAAGAATGAAACAAATTAGTCAAAAATTTATCCACAAGAATGTTGTTTACAATAGCAAATTGGAAACAATCTAAATGTCCTACAAAGAGAACGGGTTTGGATAATTGCATCAATTATCAATAAGCTTCCACAGAGTAATTAAAAGGAGACCCTGTCTCAAAAAAACCAAAAAAAAAAAAACTATAAAAAGTTAAACTATAGAATTGGACTTGTTTAAAGCTATTCATAATCTATTGTTGGCTTTTAAAATCATACTACAATACAGCATTACACTGTTGTATAACATCTCTGTAAAATAGGTGGGTATGATATATGCATAGAAGAAAATTATTATTAAATAATCAAAAGAAGTGCAATAGAACAGACTTGTTTTCTTACTTGCTTTTGGCTTTTGGTTTTTCTAATAGCACACAAATCACTTTGGTGATAATTTTTTGTCTTGTTTTTGAGACAGAGTCTCATTACGCAGCCCTGGCTGGCCTGGAACTCATTATGTAGACCAAGCTGGCTTTGAACTCAGATCTACCTACCTCTGTCTCCCAAGTGTTGGGATTAAAGGCATGTACCACTCTGCCTGACCCTGGTGATAGTCTTTTCATAAAAAGAAAAGTTTAAATAACTTGTAGTGAGTTATCCAAGCCCTCTCGACCCAACTCCATTCACAAATTCATTCATAAACGTTTTTGTACAAAATAGCAATATAAACAATTTTTAAAGATATTTATTTTTTAAGTGTATGAGTGTTTTTCCTGTATGTATGTAAATGCATCTGTGTCATACAGTGCCCATGGAGGCCAGAAGAGTGTCAGATCCCCTGGAACTGGAGTTACAGATGGTTGTTAGACACCATGTAGGATCTGGGAACTGAACTCAGATCCTCTGCAAGAGCAGCCAGTGCTCCTGCCTGCTGAGCCACCTTTACAGCTCCCAATTGTTAATACCACTGAGTGAGCATGTACCATACATGTGATCTCATGAAAATATGTATATTGCCTAAATTTTTCAAACTTTAAAAATACTTTAAAGTTACTTATTTATCTATTTATTTATTTAGTGTGCGTGTGTGGGCCATGCACAAATGCATATGCGGAGGTCAGAGGACAACTTGTAGAAATCAGTTCTCTCTCTCCACTGTGTGGATCCAGGAACTGCAACTCAGCATCAGGTACCTTTATCTACTGAGCCATTTCATGACCCGTATATTTTTATTGACAAGAAAATACATTATACCTGTACCTGAAGTCACAGAGCTAGTGGCAAACTCCAACGAAGAAGTGTATTCATCCATAAGCTCTGGTACTGTCCATGCCGAAAAGCATCCCTCCAGGCACCCTGCTCCCACCTAGGAGCCCCCAGCCCAGGCCAGCACCAGTACTGATACATGAGAAACAAACCAGTTCCTGAGATTGTTGTCCTCTGATGTAAGCCCAGCGGAGACCAGTGATCCTTCCATTCGGGAAACCAGATCAAAGCCACCGGGAATTGCCTTGTAGTTGATGGATAACCATGTGCTTGTCCAAGGATTGACCCGACAAGATCCACAGTGAGCAAGAACAACAAACACTGTGTACTTGCTGTGAAGTGTCATGAGTTGGGGAGTCCTGGGTTCACTGACTCCCTGGCTGGATATGTGGTGTTGAATTTTTGCTGCATCATTTCCAGAAATAATGGGGTCAGACATACTGACTGTGAGGAACTGCCATTCTCTACCCTTATGATTCTCATTAAATGTGAATCACATTACATGTGGACAGTCAGAGGGATGGAAACAAACATTTCCATTGTCTCAAAGTTCCTACTGCCATCAACCTTCAGCAAGAGGGGGACAGTCTTATAGTCAAGAGGAGAGACGGGTTCTCAGAAAACTTTCAGCAATAACTCCTCAATCTTTCAAGCAGTTTCCTGCCAGAGCAGAAAGGATGTCAGAGCTGGGCCCTTCCATGAGAGCACAGGCTCCACTCAGATCCTGCTTCTGTTGATTTCACAGCTGTTGCCACATTGGGGGGGGGGCATTAGAAAAGACACCTGCTTTGTGGTGACACAGCTGTCAAACAGGATGAAGATACCTTCAACATAGCCTCATCATGGGATTCTGCCTGAGTACCCTGTGCTTACTCGTGCCTGGCATGCTGCAGGCAGCCAATGCCTTCCTGAGTCAGTGTGCTGGTTATGATAGAATTTGGCAACAAAGCAATCCATTGAGTATAAAATCTATGAGGACCAGCCCCATCTGCAGGGCAGCCACACCCTCTGGTACAGCAAACTTGGAAAAGCTAAGATTTAACAAAGTGCTGAGTGGCTCCTTAAAAAGACATGACACCTAATTAAAGCCTATTCTGTCTAGGAACTTGCCTCTCATTCATAGTCAGGGTATATTCCAGCTCTGAAATTTGAACAGTGTATTGTTCCCTGGAGTTCTGAAGTGATGATGTGGTCTGTTGGGAGACTATAAAAAGGCAATCAGGAAGAACCTGTCAGCATCTGTCCAGCTCTGTCAGGAACACTGGGAGAGGAATCCCTCTCTGCTGTGAATTGACAGGTTTCTGGTTTATACACAGCTGCTTGTGTGAGTTGGTCCTCAGGCTTAAGAGACTCTGTCCTCAGGAAAGCCTGGCTGTGAGGCCTGCGGGGTTGAAACCTCCACTGAGTGCTGCTTCCTGGGAAGACATCTCTTCCAGATCCGCAGGTCTGTGAGTATGGGATGTGGGTAGATAGTCTTCCTGCCCTCCTTACCTTTTAGACTCTTTTACCTTTACAATTACCTGTTGGTGAGGTGCTGAGGGCAAACCCAGAGCCAGACATCATGTTTTGTAGGCCCCACTGATTCTTATATCCATCCTTGGTGTGAACTGTGGCCTTGGACAGGGTGGGAAACTCCTCATTGGTTGTCACTGTTGAATGCAGAGCTATAATTTAAAAACACCCTTGTTTGAATCCAGAGTCTGGCTATTGGCTATTCCACAACAGGGATTCTTACAGGGAATCCCACTTGCAATACAATAAAGCAAACTTTTTCCAAGAATATTGTTGATAGGAAAATGTGCTTTAAAACTTTCTGAGTTTTTTTCATAAATTGCTTAAATATGATTAATCAAAGTTAGAGAGCCAGGTTCTAAACTCCAGACATGTTGGGAAAACTTAAAACAGATGACCGGGAGGTACCCTCATGCTACTGGGTGGGTTGTGAGCAATAAATACCTTCCAACTTATAAATAGGTTGGAAAGTCATACAAAGTACACACACGTACACACACACACACAAGCAGGCACATATGCACACACACCACAAACCCACACCACACCACACATTTTTGTTGTTGTTATTGTCTATTATGAGACAGTCTCTCTGTAGCTCCAGCTGGCCTGAACTCTCTGTGTAGACCAGGCTGGCCTCAATCTCACAGAAATCTGCCTGCCTCTGCTTCTTGAGTGCTGGAATTAAAGGTGTGTACCATCACACTATCATCACACACAGACTACACACACATTATTTTAAATCTAGCTTCCACATGTAAGAGAAAACATGTAGTATTTGTCTTTCTGAATCTGGCTTACTTTGCTTATTATAATGATTTCCATTTAGATCCATCTTCCTATAGATATTATGGTCACTTTTCTGTCTTTAACTGCTGTTGTATGACTTTTCCTGGGGACACATGAACAAACGTCTACTCACCCCAGGTAGAGAGCATCAAGGACAGATCAAAGAAATGACTCTACCCAAATCTAGCTTGGTGAACCAATGAGTTTACTGGGCATGGGTGAGGAGTTACTTACAGAAGCACTGGTGATTCAGAGGTACCTACATCACTGCAGAGCACATCCTGTGTGCGTGGTTGTCCTCTGCGGCCAAGACAGGCACAGCTTCACTCTGTTGCCTTAATCTCTTAAGGGCCATGACTCAGATAAAGCCAGATCCTTTGATTTGACGCATAAAGGAATTTCAGGACAAACCAGTATGAAGCAGTTGGGATTTAATAAACGTATTTTAAAACAGAGTTAAAGTAGAAAGGTTAAGAAAGAGAGACACTCAGAAGAAAGTAAGACACACCCAAGACAGCATGGGTGTGGGCTTCTCAGAGAGAAAGCTGTACGTGGTTGTCTTTATAATAGTCATTCACACCATTGTGCTGGGTTTTGAGGCTCCATTCAAAGGGTGGCTAAGGATCCTAAATGTTATCAGGGCTGTTTCCTGAGAGGCACGGGGCCAGATTACAATTACAAGATAAAAGTCTAGGTCACAGGGATGTAGGAAGGAAGGTAAGTTGTCTTCACAGTAAACAGGCAACAGTTCCCAGAATATGTCTGGAAGAGGAATGCGTCGAGGTCACAGACAGGCCTTAAATCTGGTTCATGGCTATTTTAATATAAAATATCTGTACTTGAAAGAAATATTATCTATGCGAACAGCCTTTACAGCAAAAGTTAGTGTTGAAATTCTTGCTTCTTAGCTGTTGAGAATCCCCATAATTTCCTCCTGTCTGCATAATTTGTCCTTTCTGTTCTGACTCATGAAAATTGTATGCAAGGAGCTAGCTCCCTGCAGAAACCGAAAATGAGCACGCTGCACTGAAGTCTCCCCACCCTAGCAACTGTTTTCTACTCATACAGCCTTGGGGAGCCACCTCCTTGTGAATCCTGCAACTCTCAGAGCTTCCTAAGCCTCTTAAACTTCCTGAATTTTATGAGCCTCCCTTCTAACTCCAAAGAGAACATTTCAGTTCTGGGAAGATAACTTACACAGCACTGTGCTCCTCCACCCTGGCTGGTCCATCAGGCACACTCCTAATCATGGTGTGAGCCCCAGGCTGAATGCTACCTCCTGCAGGAAAGTCTCCCGAAATATTTTTCTAGTGTCTACTCCTTGAGAGCAGGAACTCAGATCTTATAATTCCATTCTAAATATTGGGCAAGCTTTCTAACCTCTCTAGCCCCCTGTTTCCTGTACGATGTGAATCATATTGCTATCTAAGTCTCTGGGTTGGCCGTACACTTGAATAACAGAAGAAATATAGTACGTGGCTTAGCACTAGCAGAAAAAGCTTTTTAAACCGATTTTGTTTTTGTATCCAGTCATGGTGGTATACACCTGTAATCCCAGCACTTGGGAGGCCGAGACAGAAGGATCAAGAGCTCAAGGCCATCTTTGACTACATAGCAAGTTCAAGGCCCTGTCTCAACAAACAAACAAGTCAAGGTCTTACCCTGGGAGCTGGAACAGTGATCCTCTCTAGTGAGCTAGAGCTGTGGTCTGCTCCTGGAAACTGGAGCAGTGCCAGCCCCCCACCATGAGCCAGCGTTGTGGTCTTCTCTTACAAACTCAAGCTGTGGACCTCTCCTGTGAGTTCAGAGTTGTGGTTCCATTTTGTGACCTGGAGCTGTGGTCCCCTCACATGAGCCTGAAGTTTTGGACCCCTAGTATGAGCCACATGCCTCTGGTGACAGGCTGATGGTGGAGCCGCATGCCTCTGGTGGCAGGCTGATGGTGGAGCAGAGCACTGAGAACTTTCTGATGTTGGGCAGCAGTTTCAATCTTCCTGAGTGACTACATTCATGGCAGAGGCTTTGCCTCTTATCCTGGGAACAAGAGGAGGCCTCTCTTACTTTCAGATTCTGGTCTTTGGAGGACTGATTCTCTAGAACAAACTCCCCTACCTCTCCTGAGGCACAGCTGTGGTCCTCATTGCACACATGGTCCTGGGCATCCAGGCCCTGACGTTGGACCTCTCCCGTTCCCAGGCACCAAGACGTTTTCCTTTTCTTTTTTTTCTGTTACTCTTCTACATCCCTGTATGCCTTCACCTATGCCCTAATTGAACTTCTTGGCAATCACAGTCTTGGCAATTTTTTAAAAAGTACTGTAATAACTAAACTGATACAATTCTCAAACTAAAAATATGTAATTATATCTTAGAATATAAATTCAAAATTCTGTATGCCTACTATAACTTTTGAATATTATTTATAGACAAAAATGTACTATCAAGCTTCAACAATAGTAGGAAATTTGTCAGTGTTCCTATAATGACAGTTTGCCATTCACTCCCTTTCCAAATTGTCCAACCTATATACAAAGTCTTTCAATGTAATTATGTTACTTCCTAAAGAAAGCAATGCTAACAAAACTTTTTTAAATAAAACAAACAAACCAAAAAGAACAAATTGATTTTCATGTAGTCCTAATAAGTAGAACCTTCCTGAACTCCAAACAGGAGCTCAAAAAGAAAAGCAAGACTTCTAGTCCGTCTCACTGATCAGCAATATCTTTCTATTATGTAACTCTGTCAAGTTTTGGTCTCTTAATGAATTTACTTACAGATACACTAAAGGCCCTGGGATGGGAGTGAGAACCTCTGGATCTCTTTAGCTTTTCCACCTTAAATACAGTTAGGGGCTGGAGAGATGGCTCAGCGGTTAAGAACACTGACTGTTCTTGCAGAAGACCCAGGTTCGAATCCCAGCATCCACAAGGCAGCTAACAACTGTCCAGTTTCAGGGGAACCGACAGCCTCTTCTGTCCTCCTCAGGCACTGCATGACACAGTGCACTTACCTACATGTAGGCAATACACACATACACATAAAATAAAAATAATAAATGAAATATTTTAAACAATTTTGGGGTTAAAGCATCCTCAATGAGGCTAAATGCAACATTTTCCTGACAGCTTCCAGAAGTGCGTTAGGACTCTCACCTGGACAGAAGCTGGGAGGGCAGCTGACAAATCTGAAGCCGCTGTGCTCCACCCTTATGTGGACAAGGAGACCACCTGCAGAGGAAGTGAGAACGTGAAGGCCCCATGTTTTGAGTCAGGCAGAGTCCTGTACACAAGCCAGAATCTAATCATGAGCTCCTGAGATTTAACCACGTTTGCTATTATTATTTGGAAAACATTAGGAAACTGATTTATTTACATGCACACATAAATATCGGAGAGCTCAGGGTCTAAGGTTAGAACACTGTCAAATCCTATCCAAAATATTGACTCAGAAAAAGCTGTGTTTGAAATCAAGGTGATGTTGGGACATAGGGTTTCAAGTCATGGTCAGTCATTCTCATTACACTTTATAACTGCTCAAGTCTGCTTTGATACCCCACAATCAGGCTCATCCCTGAAGCTACTGACCCATCCTGGACCTTGCTCCCCACAGAATGGGTCTGCTCCGATCCCTGGTGCTCTGTACCCTGGCTGCATGCTGCATGGCTAGGTCTCCACCCCAACCCCCTCTGCCTCTGAAACCTCGGGGTTGCAATGACTCTGATGTGCTAGCAGTTTCTGGTTTGGCCCTGCAGGAAATCAACAGAAACCAAAAGGATGGCTATGTGCTGAGCCTCAACCGAGTGCATGATGCTTGGGAGTACCCTCAGGCAAGTGACAGCCTCTTCTTTGTGGCAGATTGGGACAGGTTGCAGGGACTAGCCAGGTGGTAGCAACTTAGGGCTACATGTTCACAGGGGCTTTCCCAAATGAGAAACGCAGTGCTCTGCCATCCTCTGGCAAGTATGCTGTGATGCCCTTACCGTCACCAGGAGCGAGTGCTAACAAGTGTTCCTGCCCTGCCACCCATTTCGGTCTCAGCAGCGTAGAAGACATCTTCACTAGCATGTGCTTTGGCTCTCCCATAAGGAGAAGCTGTTCTGTCCAGGCTTCCTTGGAATCTGTTTCATGTGGGGTGGGGTGTGTTTCTCCAACCTTACCACAGGCTGACCAGGGATCTCTGTTCTACCTCACACTGGATGTGTTAGAGACTGGCTGTCATGTGCTCAGCAAGAAGGCATGGAAGGATTGTAGAGAGAGGACTTTTTATCAGTCGGTAAGTGCTTGTTGCCAATGACCTCTATCTACAGGATGAAGACTTCTCAATGTCTGCCATCTATTAAATGTTCTGCTTACTTATTTAATTATTTATCTGCTGGTCTCTGCTGGGATTGAAAATTTATATTACTATGCCTGACAAATTTCCTTTTCCCTCTCCCAGGCAAAAGGCTGTGTGTTTACTCTAATACTGTAGATAGAACCAAACTTGATCAGAGGAATTTCTGAGGCCTTTTGTTGGGCTCTTGATGACTAGACTTAAAAACTTGCCCTCAAATTGTTTTCTACTCTAAGACCCTTGTGCAGCCTCTGAGCTTAAATTCTAAGAAAAGGCCTGAAGGCAAGCTTCTGGGTGTGGGACTGAGGTAGAGAACGGCAGCGATGGAGAGAGCGCTTTTTGTTTTATTTTGCTTGGTTTTGTTCAAATGAATATTAATTAGTATGAGGTTTGAGGATAGGAAAGAGGTGGCTCACAGTGTGAGGGTCTTCAGGGATATCATGGGGGAGTTTCCTGGAATTATAGAACTGCAGGGCCACGGAACTCATCCTTTAAAAGCTGACGATCGGAGACTTGAAACCCATGGAGTCAGTTTTCACTTGATTCTCAGATAGTCTGGATCATGACCATCCACTGATACGGACTGTCCGTGGAATGCAAGATAGAACTTCTGGGTTTTGAAGTAAACTTTTTTTTTTTTTTTTGGTCTTTTTTGAGACAGGCTCTCCTGTAGCCCCAGCTGACTTCCGGGAGCTTTCTATGTAAACGAGGCTGACCTCAGTTTCCCAGAGATCTGCCTGCCTGTGTCTCCTGAGTGCTGGGATTAAGGGCGTGTGCCACTATGTCCAGCTGAAGTAAACTTTTTCATCAAGATTATCTTTTGTAATTATTTGACCAAATATGCCAATCTACATCTGATTATAGAAAACAGTCTCTGTACCTTCTGTTTTACTTGGTATAGTGACACTGTGGGACACTCACTGTAGCCATGAGCTCCCTCTGGAAGGAGAGATTATTTCTCATGAATTTCAAAATGGAAGTTCCTCATCAGGGGATTTTACTCTGGAGTGGTTTGGAGGCCCTGATTCCTGGGTGTGGGTTGGACCCTGCTCCCTTCAACTGTGGATTCCTGGCACCACGCTCACCGCAGAAGACAACCAAGAGAGAAAGGATGGAGAGGGAAAGCGTGCAGGCAGGCAGTGAAAACACATCGCTTCTGCTCACTTTTCTGTAGTAAGAGCTCAGAAATCCACACTTAGTTGTGATGGAGGCTGGGAAGGCAGCTGCGGCCCAGAAAAGGGTTAAACAGCTTCATGACAAGCAAAAGTTCTTCGCACCGCAGACCACAGAGCTTGATTTTAAGCTTCTCATGACTTTATAATAAAATTCTACTTTGGTAGGGGTGGGGGAGGGAATGGGGATGGTTTAAACCTCATGGTTCACCCCAAGTATCCTAAAATGCATTTGTTTTTCTAGGTTTATGGTCAATGCAAAGCAATATTTCACATTAACAAGCCAAGAAGAGTTCTCTATCTACCTGCTTATAACTGCACTCTTCGCCCAGGTATGAGTCAGGATGATTTTGTTAATATTAATAAAAGACAGGAAAGAGCATTTACCCAGGGCTTTGCCAAGACTCTATGTGGGTTCTGCCTTCCTTACTCTACGCATCACGGTAGATCTGGGTTCGATTCCCCACACCCAACTCTCTAGCTTCCTCCCCAAACAGTGCTTCTTATTCAAGAAAAGAACAGCACTTCCCTGTAGACATTTTTTTCAACTTTGGCTGAAACACTCACTGAGCACAGACCATGTACTACCTTGATTTGGCGACTTACATCTTCCATCAGAGGGAGGAATGTGTATTCCTCTTTCTCCCTGCCAAAGACTTTCTAATTCCTGTCAAACGTCAGAGGCAGGAGTAAGGCTGAGACACGCGGACACTTGAACGTACACATGCACTCATTCCGGATTCTCCTCTTAAAAATATTTCATTATTCTTATTTTATGTGTTTGAGTGTATTGTCTGCATCCACGTAAGTGCACCTGTGTCATGCAATGTCGATCGAGGTCAGAAGAGGATGTTGGATTCACTGGAACTGGAGTTACAGACGGTTGTTAACCTCCATGTGGGTGCTGGGAACAGAACCTGGGTCCTCTGCAAGAGCAGTCAGTGCTCTTAACCACTGAGCCATCTCTCCAGCCCCTGGATCCTCCTATTTATGAGAAGTTCATTACAAAGCAAGCATTCACTACATGGGAGACAGAGTACAGCTGCTTTTTTGACTACTATGGGCAGGTGCTCTTCTTAAGGCTCATATGAATGTAAGGATTCTGATCCCAACCATCTTGCAGGGCTTGAGAGTCAGAATTTCTAACAAACCCAGATGATAATCATGCTGCTGGTTGCTTTCAGTAAGGAGGCAACAGAGCAATCATTGTATTAGTCATAGCTTAAGGTTTCTCTTTGTGAAGACAAGACTAACTAAAATAAAGTAGAGGAGAACTGAAAAGTAGTGGACCTTCATGGCTATCAGGAATTAGCAACCACACAGAAGTGGCAAGTGTGGATACTTCTCCCATTGTCTTCCCCAAACATCAAGACAATGTGCTTTCTCTGGGAAAAAAAACCAAAAACAAACAACTTCAAGGCAAATTCTCTGCCTTGACTCTTGAATATTTGCCTAGCTAGCGCCTCTGAAACAGATTCTGGCTGTCCAGTTGCCCTGCACTCTCACTGTGGTTTGACCAGCTTTGTTTTCTGACTCATTTGCATTTCCTAAACAAAGGGGATGGCTTCTAGCACAGCAATGTCGTTCAAATACTTTATGAATATCTACTGGACTCTCATTATGCGTTAGATATCATTCTAGGTGTTCAGAGCTGTATACAAGGTAAGTAAGTCATGGCAGTAATAAGGTGCCAGCCTTTCAAAGGTACTCTTCTACAGGGCAATAATAAGAAATGACATTGAACTAGAGAGGAGTTTGATGTGTTCAACATTTTGACATTGAAATATGCTGTTAGCCACAAAGTTCACACTTAACTATGTAATTGAATTACAAAAAGTTTTAAAATTATGATGTTTTAATAATTAACAACTTTGTATTGGGCCATGTTCGTAGCTAGCTTTGGCTCCATGTGGCCCATAGGCTGCTGGTAGGGTATGTCTGTATGCTTTTGAAGAAAATTCCTACAGTAAAGAAGCTTGTAAGAGGTGAAAACTATCTTGCTTTGATTCCTTTTTAAATTATGGAACTAATAATGCTCACAGACTTGGGATTTAGCTCAGGTGATAGAGTCCCTCGAATACATGAAGGCCTCTGCTTGATACTTAGCACCGCATAAACTGGGCTTGATTGTGCAACTATAATCTCAGCCCTTGGGAGGTGGAGGGAAGAAGATTAGATGTTAAAGGTCATTCTTGGTTACACAGGAACTTTAAGGCCAGCCTGGGATGCATGAAATGTTGTTCAAAAAGGAAAGAGGAGGAGGAGGAGGAGGAGGAGGAGGAGTCCTGTAGCTGGGGGAGTCAGGGTTGTCTATGGGGAAAGACTGGGTTTGAAGGCAGGCTTCTAAGTTTCAGCTATGGGGAAGAAAACTAGATGCTTCTGACAGACATCTCCTTATGTTAGGATCCAAGGTACCACTGCTGATTACAGGAAGCTCACTGCCAAGAGCTAAATGCTTTTTTAGAAAATGTCTTTCTTTTCAGAAAATGTCTTCCTTGCCACTACTGGGTATTATTATTTTAATTCAGTCTTTGTTTCTGGTATAGTCATATGATTATTACCATTTTTTTAAACATATTTTATTTTATATTTTATGTTCATGAGTGTATTGCCTGCATGTGTAAGTGCACCCATGTAATGCAATGCCCTCAGAGGTCAGCAGAGGGCGTTGGATTCCCTGGAACCAAAGTTAGAGATGTTTGTTAGCCACCATGTTGAGTGTTCTGGGAATTGAACTGGGTCTTCTGGAAGAGCAGCCAGTGCTCTTAACTGCTGAGCCATCTCTCCAGTTCTAATTATCATTATTTATAAGACTGAAAAATCAATAGTATTTAAAAATTAGTTTTTATTTTTACCCAATAGTTACTCGAAGAAAGATTCTGTTCATGTGCCCTGATTGTCCAGTACCTGTGCGCATGGACCCATCAAACCTTAAAGTTTTGGAAGCTGCCACAGAGTCTCTTGCAAAATACAACAATGAGAGCCCCTCAAAACAGTACTCACTTGTCAAAGTCACGAAGGCTTCAAGCCAGGTCAGTTACACATACTATCTCATCACCATAACTACAATTTCTTTAGCTGGGAGGAGGCTACCCAGGGACTGTGGGTAGAACCCTAGAGCCTTTCTCCACATTCCTATTTCTAGAGGACCTGGTGTGCAATCAATCATATCTCAGTTTCTGTCAAATATCAGGTGACTAGATTTTACTTCAACTTCAGGGAAAGGGAGAAACAGATTCATAACCTCATCGTAGGGAGGGTCTGCACTGGCTCTTTTTACTAGTTACATGTCCATATCTCACTGACCAGGGACTGCTTTTGCTCTGTATTAAGGACTAGGGTAGATGCTGAATTATATGGGTTATGGGAAATAGAGGCACAGTTGTATTTGAATTATTGATATGTTTCTCAAATAGAAAAAGCCTAAAAGAAAAATCTTTGTGATGAGAAATAAGTTAAGGGGATATAAGTTAGCACTCATTCACATCCTTAATGAAAAGATATAGTTTTATGTTTTGTAAATAACAAAATTAAAGTAGATAGTTAGATCCCTATGGGGCACTTTCAGGAACAATGGGCTCTTATGTTGGCAATACTCTGTATTAATTCTATGAAAGAAATGTTGCCAATCCTGAGAATTTTCCTAGGTAGAAAGGTTTGATGTTAATGTTTTAACTCATGTTTCCTAACAGTGGGTGGTTGGCCCTGCTTACTTTGTGGAATACTTAGTCAAAGAGTCACCATGTAGCAAATCTCAGACTACTTGTTCACCTCAGCCCTCTGACTCTGAGGTAAGTATTCCTGAATGCTGGCATAATTTAAGATGTGTGCACAAAGCATTATTAAGTATTTGTTGAATACATTGCACTCGAGATATTACAAAACCTGAGATCTCCTCCTTCCCTCAATAAGCAACTAAATACTTAGAAATTAGCAGGTCTTGACTACCATAGGGCTTTATGCAATGTTAATTATGACTATCATTAGCAGTGTGATACAAATGTAGGAAGTGGTCATGGGTGGTCATGGGATGCAGCATGGTGTTCCATTCCTGGGACCACTCTTATAAAAGAAAGACCAAGTAAATCAAATGAAAGACAATGTAACAGAGGGGGCACCTTGAAACCATCTCAAATACACTTGGGAATGAAAAACCGCACATCTATCAGAGCACAATTGGGAAAAATTCACCAAAGGATTGTTCCCTTGTTTATTGATAGCGACAGCTTTATATAATTCTTATGCTATAAAATTCATCTTTTTTTTTTTTTTGGTCTTTTTGAGACAGGGTCTCCCTGTAGCCCCAGCTGGCCTGGAACTCACTATGTAGACGAGGCTGGCCTTGAACTCACGGAGATCCGCCTGCCTCCGCCTCCCGAGTGCTGGGATTAAAGGCGTGTGCCGCCATGCCCGGCTAAAATTCAGGTTTTTAAGGTGCACATTTTTAGTATATTCACAGAACTGTGTCTTCATCATTGCTTCATTATTTTTAAATATTTTCATCAGCTCCCCAAGGAAATACTATTAACAGTCTTTCCCATTTCTGACTCCTGTGGGGAAGGCCCTGGAAACTGCTAATATGCTCTCTGTCTCTAGAGACTTGTCCATTTGAACATTTCATACAAATGGAATCATGCAGCACACAGTGTGTGTGTGTGTGTGTGTGTGTGTGTGTGTGTGTGTGTGTAGGTATATGTCTCTGAGAGAGAGAGAGAGAGATATCATTTCTTTTAAAAGGAAATTGATCATTAACTCCATCAGACTAGCCCATGAATGGCAATGCTGACGTTCAATGCTGTTTATATCAGCTGCTTTGTACATACTCATTTTATTATGAACATACATCAGTTGTACAAGTTCAGTGACTTCCTGTGATACTTTAGTGCGTTCACACGTGCATTGATCACTCCACCTCCACCTCTACTCCTCCCCTCATTCTTCTGTGTCAGTTTTTTTCACTTAGTATGTTTTCAAGTGTTTTCCATCTGCAAACAGAGGTAGCTGTACTTCTTTGTGTCCAATAATATTTCGTTGTATGGATATTGCTTATTGTTTATCAATTGATGGACATTTCTGCTATTTCTTGTCAGAAACAAGCCTCCACCTGTTGGGGGGAGCCCATGTTTCCATTTCTCCCCCGGGTTATACCTTGAAGTATGACAGTGGCTCCTACGAGGAGTGTTTCATGCTTCAACAGCCATACTGTTTCCAAAGTTACTTCACCAGTTTCACAGTTCCATCGGCAAAGTTTGAAAGCTGCAGATTTCCACATCCTTACCAACATTTCTTATCTTTCTGGTTGTAGCCCTCCTGCTGAGTATGAACTGATGCTCACTGTTGTCTTTATTGACATTTCCTTGATGGCTAATTGTGTTGAGCACCTCTTTATGTCATCTTTTAATAATCTTTCTATTAGCCAGTGGTTATATCTTCTTTGGAGAAATGCCTGTACAAATCCTTGCCCCTTTTAAAATTGAAGTACTTCTCCTCCTGAATTCTAGGAGTTCTTTACTTATCTTTGCTTTATATCTTACATATCTTGCTGAAGTCTAGACATTCTTTACATATTCTGGATTAAATAATCTTATTGGGTGTACTGTTTTAAAAATATTGCCTTCCATTCTGATTTTACTATTTATTTTTGAAATATTTATTATTTTTATTTTCTGTGTATGAGTGTTATGCCTGCATGTATGTAGGTGCACTCATACCATGCAATGCCCACAGGGGTCAAAAGAAGGTGTTACATCAGATTCCCTGGAAATGGAGTGAGGACAGTTGTTAGCTGCTATGTGGGTGCTGGGAATCAAACCCGGGTCCTCTGGAAAAGCAGTCAGTGCTCTTAACCACTGAGCCATCTCTCCAGCGCCTGCTATTTACTTTTTAAATGATTTTTGTCTTTTCTTATTCATTTTTTTACAATTTCATACATGTAAACAATGTATTTTGATTTATCATAATCACCACCATTACCCTCTCTAATCCCTTCCCACTCCCTATGAGCCTTTTCTTCCTAACAGAAGAAGGGCGGTTGGTAGCCACCACAGGGGTGCAGGGAATCAAACTTGGGTCCTCTGCAACAGAAGCTGGTGCTCTTAACCGCTGAGCCGTCTCCCGAGCCCCTATTATTTTTCCTTTCGAATGTGCTTTCAGTCTCGTATCTAAGTCCAAGCCATTACCATTTTGTGCATTAAAATGTAAGGAGCCTAGAATACTGGACATTTTTTTCAACATAGCTATGATATGATAAAGTTGAATTAATAAATTAGGCATAGGTACATTAACAATAACTAATACTAAAACAGAAACATTAAAATAATATACTATAATAACAATGATCTGTGAGTCAGGTGTCGTGGCTCTGACCTGTAATCCCAGCACTTCGGAAGGTGAGGCAGGAGGGTCAGGAGTTCAAGGGCAGCCTTGGCTACATGAGACCTTGTTTTCCTGTTTCTTTTTTTAAAAGATGTTTTGTGATTGTAGCCTCTCAATTCTCTCTTTTTCTTTCTTTCTTTATTGTTTTCTTTCTTTTCTTTCCTTTTTTTTTTTTTTTTTTTTTTTGGAGACAGGGTCTTACCATGTACCCTTCTGGCCTGGAACTCACAGGGATCTGCCTGCCTCTGCCTCCCAAGTGCTGGGACTTAAAGCGTGCACCACCACACCTGGCTCTCCCCTCCTTCAAAATATCTTTTTAAAAAAAGATTAAAAATATGATTATATATCTGTGTGAGTGTATGCCACATGTGAATGTGACCTTGGAGGCCAGAAGATGGTGTCAGAGCCCCTGGAGCTGAAGTTAAAAGCTGGGAGTAGCCCAAGTGGGAGCTGGCCTTCTGTTCTTTCAGCCCTCTCAACATATCTTATTGTGTTGTCCCTCACTGTCTTTGGTGATGACGTCACATGACACAACGTGTACAAGATCACACGAAGTGAGGTGAGTGGTGCAGGCACCTTGAACAGCCTTAGCTACCTCCTTACCTGAGCACAAGCACTATGATACCAGGACAGACAATCTGATAATAAAAACAGCTAGAGACCACCATCTGATAGGATGCAGAGCACAGTACTCGCTGGGCTGAGGAGTGATTCACAGCCCTGGAAAGACAGAGCAGAACAGTGAGTGATTTTATCATGATATTCAGAATAACGTGCAAATCAAAACTTAGAAATTACTAAATTCTGTGATTTTTTATTTAATATTTTTGGATCTTGCTTGAGTCCAGATAACTGGACTCACAGAAAGAGATATTTTAGTAAATGTGTTCTTGAGTATTATATTCTTTTCCATGTGATTATAGTGGGATTCTCTTTTTAATTTTATTTTTGAAACATTTTATTATTTGTATTGTATGTGTATGCATGTTTTGTCTGCATGAATGTAAATGTACCACGTGTGTGCAGTGTCCCTAGAGGCCAAAAGAGGGTGTTGGATTTCCTGGAACTGGAATTACGGGTGGTTGTAAGCCACCATGTGGGTGCTGAGGACCAAACCTTGGTCCTCTATAGGAATAGTGAATACTCTTAACCACTAAGACATCTCCCCAACCCCTTTAATTTTGTTTTTCGATTATTCATTGCAAGTGACTGGAAACACAATTGATTAAAAAAATAGAGATCTTGTATCCTGTAACCTTGATGAACTCATTTATTAGTTATAAGGGGTTTCTAGTAGTTTCCTTAGGATTTTCTATACACAAGTTCTTGACGTCTGAAAATATAGTCTAATTTCTTTCTAATCTGGAGGCCACGTGTCCACAGGGTCCAGTCACCTACAGACCCCGCCCTTATGTTCCACTCTAGTACCTGCACCAGGAAGGTCTACAAGTTCTGATAGTTCAGAAACTCCTACTCAGGGAGCAGTGGCCAACTGTTCTTGGTAGAGACACCTGCAGTTTCTCTACAAGGCCTCCTCAGTAAGCCTCGGTGATGAAGAGGAGAAAGGGAAAGCTGAGGTTCCAATCTCCCAAGGACTTCATATTTTAATGGATTTCCCACCTTGAAGAATTTTTAGGCTTCTCGTCATATGATTTGGAAGTAGACATAGAGTAACGTTCAGGCGATCAGATGTACTTTAATAAATTTTGTGTGGCTAAAGAGTTATTTTTAAATTGAGGTAACGTTTTAATAGTCTACTTATACTTTAAAATATATGTGCACTATGATATTATTATTATTATTAATTATTATTATTATTAGGTCTTTTTGAGACAGGATCTCCCCCAGTTGGCCTGGAACTCAGGATGAAGACCAGGTTGGCCTTGAACTCAGAGAAATTCACCTGCCTCTGTCTTCCAAATGCTAGGATTAAAGGTGTGCACCACTACGTCTGACTTACTACACTATAACCTTAAAATAATTCTTCTAGGTATTTAAGAAATCAGAGATATATGGTTTTTTAATTTAATTTAATTTTATGTGTATGCGTGTATTGCCTGCATATATGTAAGTGCACCCATGTCGTGCAATGCCCACAGAGGACAGAAGAGGCCGTTGGATCCCCTGGAACTGAAGTTATGGACAGTTGTTAGCTGCCATGTGGGTGCTGGGATTCGAACCCTGGTCTTCTGCAAGAACAACCAGTGTTCTTAACCGCTGAGCCATATCTTCAGCCACAGAGATATATGTTTTAAAAAATGAAATTCAGGCTGGAGAGATGGCTCAGCAGTTAGGAACACTGGTTGTTCTTGCAGAAGACCAGGGTTCGAATCCCAGCACCCACATGGCAGCTAACAACTGCCCGTAACTCCAGTTCCAGGCGATCCGACAGCCTCTTCTGTCCTCCACAGGCATTTCACCACATGGTGCACTTACCTACATGCAGGCAATACATGCATACACATAAAATAAAAATAATAAATAAAATATTTTTTAAAAAATGATATTCGCCAGGCATGATTCGCATGCCTTTAATCCCAGGACTCGGGAGGCAGAGGCAGGCAGATCTCTGTGAGTTTAAGGTCAGCCTGGTCTACATAGAGAGTTCCAGGCCAGCTGGAACTACAGGGAGACCCTGTCTCAAAACAACAAAAATAAAATAAAAAATAAAAAATGAAATTCAATCTAGTTATTTTACAACAGAGAGCTTCTTAGGTGCAGAGAAGTACTAGGTAACCATTAAAAAGATAATCACAGAAGACTACCCAATACCATAAAAGGATTTTCACAAGATATTGTTCAGTGACAAAACACAAAATACCACATATAATATAATCTTAGTTTTCAGAAGAAAAATATCCGTTTGTAGGGAAAGAAGATTAAAATGAAGTCAGATGCCTGCAAGTGACCGGTTCCTTTCAAGGAGCTGGTATTCATCTGTTTTTCTTTTTATTTATGTATTTTCTACATAGCTATTTATCATACTTATAATAAAAGCAAAGGTGTTTTATTTTCAAATAAAGAGGAGGCGAAGGATCTGAGTGGTTTTGTCTGAGAAGAGAGAATTTATATGGAACACACATCGAAGGCTACTGACAAAAGAAGAAAAACAAGCTTCCCAGTTGACCCAAGGACAGAACTAGAGTCTAGCAGCACAGGCTGGTGCATCACTTCCTGATAATAAAAGTATCACTCCTCAAAAACCACTGCGTTTCCCATCAAAAGCAGCCTAGCCCTGCTGTTTAGAGGTGATTTAGAGAGAGTTGATTCAGAGCCCGACTTCCTCAAGGCAGGAGCATAAAAGCACGGCGTGTGTCTACACAGGCAGAAGTAAGTGGCTCGCATACATGATCATCGGTGATTTAATCCTGGACATTTCCTTTCTTTCAGCCTGTTGGTCTTTGCCAAGGTTCTCTGACCAAAACACCTGATAAAACTTTTGTCTCTGTGACTTGTGACTTCTTTGAACCCCAGGTATTTTCCTATTTTTTTTTTAAAAAATTATCATGTGTTTGCATGATGTGCATGTGTGAGTGTATGCACCGTGGCACACGTGGAGATTGGAGGACAACCCTCTGGAGCTGGTTCTCTCCTTCCATTTAATGGGTTCCAGGGACTGAACTCAGATCTCCAGGTTTGCAGGGCAAGTGACCCTTAACCCACTGAACCTTCAAATCAGCCAAATCCCACGTATTTCTTAATCAAATTAGATTATCTATATTTAGTTGCCCTGCCCCACCCCTCCTTTGGTTTTCCCAAGATCCAGGATCACTTTACTCAGACAACACCTGTAGGATACAGACCTATCCTACTGTTTTTGTCACACTGTGGTCCTGTAGAACAAGGGAGTACACTCAGAAACAGTGAACTACCCATTTACATGAATTAAGTCTTCAAGGAGTTAAAGTCACTGTCCCAAAGAAACCTTTCTTTTAACTTTGAGGGGAAGTCACTTCTTGAAAACATTCAGTCTTTCCTCAGGAACACTGAGTGTTTACAGCAGGACAGCCTGATGCAGTCAGACAGGCTGCCTGGGTTCCTTGCCCTGCTCTACCCTGGAAGCTGTGTGGCTGTTAACACTTACCTGCCTGCCATTTGTGGGATGGAACTGCAACACCCACCTTGTTCTGATCCCAAGGAGATCAGTGAGAGGACTTGGATGGCAGGCACTACACCCAGCCTGGCACAAAACAAATAAGGCCACCTGCTGTCACTCGTGAGAGCAGAGGCAACTCACTGGGGACTCTGAGTCCTTAAGTCTCTCTAGACCACTATTCAACTCTGAAATCCAAGACTTGTAGACCAACTTCTACAAGTTGTTTCCACTTGGTACTATCAGTTTCCCCTTTTCTTCTGTTTATCAGAAGGTCCAGCCCTCCATCCCTCTAGTTCCTTTCCCTAACCAATCTTCAGAGAAGTACCAAGCAGAGATGGGTGTGGTGGCCCAGGTCTGTAATCCCAGCTCTCAGCCAGAAGGAGCGTGAGTTCGAGCCTGGGCTATATGAGACCCTGCCTCAAATAAGCAGTCACAAAACAGCTTTCCTTGTGCTAGGTGTGGCAGAGTGTTCCCTGTGGAATTCTGCATTTCAAAACATTGTTATTTCAGAATCAAGTCCCAGGAGGTAAGACCTCGGCTGTTGACCAGACATCAGTGAAACTGCCCAAGGTGGGTGAGGCGCCTGAGGAAAACACAGCCCCCGCCAGCCCCCACTACAAACCTTCACCAAGTGGATCCGTGCAGCACCTCCCTGACTTGGATGATGAGATGTCTGAAGACTCCCAGGCACAGAATCTTCCGGAAGCCTTCCCCGTGCGGCTGGATCTAACTACGAATCCCTGGGGAGAAGACCTGGATCTCTCCTTCCTTTACATAGGGCCTGATGAAGGGAAGCTGACTGTGCTGCCTTTCCCTAGAAAAAGCCAGCATGATAGGTGCCCAGGGCCTGCAAAGGATACCCGCCCTCTGGTCCTCCCTCCCTGAGAATTTCAGACAGGGCTCCACAGGGTGTGGTGAGGTGGGCGGTGGGAATGGGAGGAGACAGAGGGTCCCACGTAGAGAACGGATAATAAAGTGTGTTCCTTTCACTCCTCTTGGTCTCAGTATGTTGCTTGCAAATGGAAATAATGCGACTGAACTCCCAGCTTGGGCCGCCTTGGCCACTTGCCACTGCTGTGTGTGACATCCAGAACAAACTGTTCAGTCCCATATGCCATCTTTTCTTTCCTTCTTTTTACTTTTATATATATAGTTTGTTTGTTTGTTTGTTTGTTTGTTTGTTTGTTTGGGGGTGTTTTTTTGGTATTTTTTGAGACAGGGTCTCCCTGTAGCCCCAGCTGGCCTGGAACTCACTACGTAGACCAGGTTGGCCTTGAACTCAGAGATCCGTCTGCCTCTGCCTCCCAGTGCTGGGATTAAAGGCGTGTGCCACCATGCCTGGCTCCTTTATCTTTTTAAAAACTTTATTCAAGTAGGACTGACATAAGGCACACACTTACAGAAGGCTATGACATCACTAAATGATTTAATCTTAAGGGTCTTTTGTCACTAACAGAGTCCATAACACTCTCTATGTAGCCCATGACTGATTTTGATCTTTGGTAAATTTCTGTTTGGTCATTCATTGTTTTCTTTCTTTAAACTGTTTCTCTGCATTTTCCTTAAACAATTACTTTGAATTCTTTGTCAAGCAACTCATGAATCTCTATTTCTTTAGGGTTGATTTCTGGTGCTTTATTGCCTCGATTGTTTCAGAACAGTGTGACTTGGGCTGGTTTCTGAGTATCTGAAGTAACAATTTGTTGCAGTCATTGTGTCAGAAGGTGTGTAGTTCTGGGCAGCCACTTGAGGTGGTCTACAAAGAGGCTTTTTGCTGGAGTCCTGAGATGGTTGGACTGGTACCAGAGTGGGTTAGTCCTTCTGGTTTCCTTAATGCCTATGAAAGTATTGGCATGCATGACTGCTAAAATTAATGTTCAGGAATGCGAGTGACCCCACACAGCTGCATCACCTCCAAGTCTGACCTTATCATGGATGGAGAGCTCACGGAAGCTAGGTCACGGAGTCTCCTCATCCCATCTTTCCTGCCTTCAAGTTCTCACTTATCATTTCAACCTATGTTTATGCTCAGCTTTCTAAATTAAAGCTGTCCACACGTAAGCACATTTCCCTAACTTCCTCCCACCCCCCCTGTACTTAGAAGGCCATGTCTAGCTGGGATTGCCCATACCATTTCCAATTCTCAGCCTCTTTTCATCTGCCTTGAAGGCCTCTGGGTCTTGTCAATGGGCCCTGTCACTGGGGGCCAGGGCACAGGGAAGAGAAGTATGTATGTGGCCTGTGCCATCCATTGGGAATACTGGATACAACAGTTTCATTATTAGAAAACGTCTTAGAGCAAAAATCATGGCATTCAATTGTCTTCCCTTTTAAAAAAATTGTTACTGAATTTTTGTGTATTTCATAGAGAAAATCATCTTTAGGCCCCTTCCCCTTTGGCACCCTCCCATAACCCCTCACTGGAGTTCATACATTCTGTCATTTATGTTAAGGCCTACCATGTAAAGGTAGTATCTCCAGATATCCCTCAGAGCAAGTTCATCCACTGGGATTTAGTCAACCTATTTAGAGTCCCTCCCTTTAAGGAGATCAGCTCTTCCTCACCCACCATTAATCAGTTTCCAATAATTTTTTGACTAAGATTGGGGCCTTCTGTTCATTTCCACAGTTCTGTGCTGCTTAAGTTCAGGTGCTGCTTAAGTTCGCATGGGTTTTGTGTATGCTGACACCATTGCTGCACATCTCTGAGAAGAGTCTCGGGCACCTGTAGGACTATTTCTATATGGTCGTGCACGTCCTCTCTGGCTCTTACAATCTTTCTTCCCCCTCTTCCACAATGGTCCCTGAGCCCTGGGTGGGTGGATTTTAATATAGGAGTCCTGTCCAAGGACCCACACTCTGCAGACTCTTATTGTTTTTGTTTTGGCCATTTGTGACCTTTCGTGTTCCTGGCCCTCCTTTGCATGAGGGAGCTTCACTGATGAGAACTGAGAGATGCCTTAGTGTTCTCTTCATCCTTCGTTGTGTGTTCCATGAGTCTTAGGTGTAGAGGTTATATCCTAGATGTGCCACTTAGACTTGGGCAATTCACAGACTTGGGCAATTCACAGACAATCTCTGTGTGTGACCAGTTGTGGAAACGTCTCTTGAAAAAGAATCTTCCTTGATGGGTGTAACTGGGATACTTGTCTATAAATTTAAGGACTCATATTTTTCACATGGTAAGAAATTTCATTTGTCTAGGGATGTGACAGCCCTGGAGTTTTCTCTAAGATCTACGACCTCTCCCACTATTTGTATTTGGCTAGGTTTACAGTACTACACATGAGCTTCCTCCCATTGAGTGGGCTTTAAGATCAATTAGGTAGCTGTTCATTACCCCCAAGATAAAAGTGCCAGTACTGCATCAATATCATTTGCTGTGCTGGTCATTCATGTGGTTTTTAGGCCTTGAAGCTGGGATTGGACTATCAATTGATGTTCTCCCTTTGCGGCTTGCATAGTGCCCTCCAAAGCTGTGAGCTAGCCTTCAGGGGAGGAGGCTTCCAGGTCAGTTCTAGCTCTGTTGTTCCATATCCTGTGTCCAAAGTATGTCCTGTCTTCAGCAGTAGGGTCTTACCATTAGGTTCTGAGAGGCAATCAAGGACTGTGGCAATAGCCTGTGTAATTTTGTAGTCTCTTGGACCACCCTGGCCAACAGCTCAAAGGAAGGTTTCTCCTGCCTGGCACTGTTTCTTGTTATGTAGCCTTCAGCTGTACTCATGGGCTCATGTAGGGATATTGCATGTGTAATTTTTCGGTAGGTTTTTGGAGTAATGTGATTCCCTCTGTTTTTTTTTATACTAGCTAGGCACTTTTTATCACTCCTCTTTCTCTCCCTGTCTTATCCTTCCTACCCACCCTCCCCATTAAAGTGTCCACATTTCTCCCTTGATAATTCCTGTCTCTATGGTCTCACCTCTCTGGAGCTCCTTCTTCCCCTTTATTCCCACAGTTCTTCGTATAGCCCCCCTTCTCCCCCTCCCTTTTAACTACCCCCTTTTCACATATTTCTCCTTCAGTAACATCTGTTTCTTACTATTATTCCCTCTTGGATTTCTTCTTTCCCTTTACCCCCCTGGTTACTTTCCATTTTCCTGGTTCCTGCAGTTACATCAGGATATGTACTCACTTATAAGGATTTGATGCCAAGATCCACAAATGAGGGAGAACATACGTCGTTTGTGTTTCTGAGTCTGTGTTACTTCACTTAGTAGAACAGTGTCTAGATCCATCCATTTACCTGTAAATTTCATTATTTCATCTTTCTTTACTGCTGAGCAGAACTGCATTGTGTAAATGTACCAAATGTACCACATTTTCATTAACCACTCATCAGTTGAGGGGCACTTAGGTTGTTTCCATCTCTTAGCTATTGTGAAAAGAGCAGCAACAAACATGGATGTACAAGTGTCTCTGCAATAGGATGAGTCTTCTGGGTATATGCAAAGGAGTGGTATAACCGGGTCATATAGTAGGTTCATTTTTAGCTTAAGGGTTCTCCACACTGCTTTCCATAGGGGTTGCACAAGTTTGCAATCCTACCAGCAGTGAATGAGCATTTCCCCTTTCTCCACACCCTTGCTAGCTCTTGATCTCAGCCAGTCTGACTGTAGCAAGATGAAATCTTAAGATGTTTTAATTTGCATTTCCCTAATTACTAACAATGTTTAACAGTTTTTAAGATGTTTCTTAGCCATTTTTCTTCCTTCTTCTATATTTAAAAATCATGAGATAAATTTCCTCATTTGGAAGCGCGCACACACACACACACACACACACACACACACACACAAACACACACGTGCGCAGGCACAAAAGATCATTTGATGTTTTGACAGTCTGCAGATGTAGTGATTGTTCCCCATCCTGACAACCATTTCCTAAGAGAGGCACAGGACTTGCCGCCATGTACACAGCACACTGTACTTACACTAGGTTATTCTTATCCACTGAATGTGTGGGAGTGCCGTGTGGTTCTTAGACCGGTTCAGTCCTGGTCTGCAAAAAGCAGAGTGGTACTCAGCACTGAAAAGGCCTCACTGCAGGGTCTTTAGTGGAAACTTACAGGCCAGAGAAGGGAAGGGGAAGCAATGCTGAGGCACCTAGGGAAAAGCTACAGCAGGGTGTTCTTACCACCCTAGGCCAGGAAAGCAGGAGGAGAAGTGGCAGTCTCCCCAAGCCCAGTGTGAGCTGAGCTGTGGACCAGGAGAACAGCATGGATAGAAGAGTGCAGAACCTGCTGCTGATCAACTGGGTGAACATGCTGCCCTCCCTCCCTCCTTCCCATTTTCTCTACCCCTTGGCTCTTTGAACCCAATGGTAAAGTGGCTAACAGGGTGCCTGAGAATTAATCCCTGAGCGTAAGCCTGGGAAACAGGGACAGCTACAGAAAGTCAAACAGAGGCAGACCTGGGGGAGTCGGAGAAAGACCATCCCAAGCCCCAAGCCCAGGATCTCCCAATCGTGTTCTGTAAGCCGCACCTCTAACAGAGAAGGGTGGAACAGGCCCAGGCATGTGAGGAGGGGGGCATACTTATTCCCACATGCTAAGACTGCTCCCACATTTCCTAGAATTTGTTGTAGATGAGGCTGAGTAGGAGGTAAAAAGATCAGTCATCAGGAGAGAGAAACAGGTGCCAGTAAGGAAGAAGCACCTGGATCATATCAAAACCATTAGCCATCATGATCAGGATCTGACTTGTTTTCTTTTGTTCTTTGTATCTGACATAACATTTATGCATGACACATAATAGGGTTATTATACCTAAAATTAAAATAGTCAAGAGCACTGCTTGGCCTAACATAGTAAAGGTAATATATGAAAGAAACACGCATTTAAAAAATGAGATTGACCATCTGTTTCCCTGTATTTATAGCTATTTACAATCTATGAACTGTCTTATTTACATTTGGAGTATTTAAATGAACCTATTTTCTTTTAATTTAGGTTTTTCTTTTGACCAGTTTGACCTCATAGCTATAAGCTCAT